TGTAAACATAAGACGGGCACAACATCACAAGCACAAAGATTCCTAATGTTATTTATTTATTTAATGTTATTTCTAGTTGTATGACAGGAAAAGGGTTACCCAAAAAAAAAAAAAAAAAAAAAAAGTAAAAGGCTTATGCACTGCAGTGCTGGGGTCTAAACCCCAAGCCCCAAGTCAGGGTCGACATATGGATGATGCCCACAACCAGGCAGGAGAGACCTTCTTCTTGGTTTTCTCTCAAGGCCTGGCCAACCTGGGGTGTAAACCAATTAGGAAATCCCCCCCAGGTGTCCTGCCTCTAAAGTTACCAGTATAAAGGCTGGCTCTGCTTGTGGGGAGTGGGAAGTTTACCTGTGCAGTGGATGCACTCTGTGGAGTTTCCTATTGGCAGAGGGGCTCCCTGTCTGCTGCAAGTAGGACTCCAAGTGATGGCAGGACAACATCACAACCAGGACAGAAGGAGGATTATGTATGTAATGATGTTGCTTTTTGGCAACTACAATATGACTGGAGTTGGACTACTGACCTGGCTTATCCCTTCTCCCATGACCTGGCTTTGGCTCAGCTTGCTCCTTTCTTTGCTTCATCACGTACTGTGAGTGCATCAATCTATTTATTCCTCTGGTTGTCAAGATGTCTCCTGTCCTCCCTAGGTACTCTGGAATGGGATGGAAATGTCTGGCCTGTGTGCTGCCTATTGATGGCAGTGTCCCTCCTACTGGGACATGCAGTCAGCAAAAGATGCAAATAAGTGATATATGTTATGGTGTTACAGTTGAGCCTTTGCAGTGTGGATCAGATTTTGTGCAATTTTTCCAAAATGGGGAAAAATGGACATGAACATGCAGAAGAGCAAGCATGGTAATTTGGCTATGTTTCTATTTCATTTCCTGTGTCACAGCCCATTTTATGTTTATAATTGTGTTAAACTGCTGGTATTTATCTCAAGGTGTTTTGGCATTTCTGAACTAAAAGTCCTACAAATAAACAAATGATGGTGAGGGTAGTAAGTAATCAATCAAGATGGAACTGGAGATGCAAAAATGAGTATTAGGACAGGGAACAGAAGATGATGGAAGCCTTAGCTGTATCACCAGGTGGAACATGGGAACAAGCAGAACATTTGGGTGGGATGTGTGCATGATGAGAGGTATGTTACCTTTTCCTCTCTAAGGAACAACATTTCCTAATAATTTGTCAGGCTCTGCCTTTTCAAGTTGAAATTCATTACTACATCAAAGCAAATGTCTTGCTGGTAACGGAATAAATGTCTCTGCTTAGAATGTAAATGAGAAAAATGTATGAATTGCATTTAAAGAATTGTGACTGGATGGGTGGATGGAGTTAGTTTAAAAAACAACTTTGACAAAATTCGATAATAGATGATAATAAGCTTAATTTCCGTTTCTCTGGTAATTTGAAAAGTAGCAAATAAGTGTTAGCTGCATTAGACATGCAGCATATACAGCTAAGGGGGTGTGTCATGGGTTGGTTTGTTGCTGTGTGCAACTTACGTTCCTACTCAAACAAGGCCACTGCCTGGCAGCCCCCTGTGAGTGAAGGCTGGACTCAGCCTCGCTCAGCACTTGCTTATGCCAGCTTGAGGATGCTACCCTTTTCCAGAAGAGCATGGGTGCCCTTTGGGGGTTAGGAGACACATGCAACCATACCTCCTGTGTTCCCTCCACAATCTTATGCCTGGAGAAGTCTGTGTGAAAAATAATTTGTATTGGGGGAGTTCTCAGAAGCAGACACCTGGGTGGAAACGTATTCTTGTCAGAAGAAAACCCGGAAAACATTTGCACAGATGTGGTTGACAAAGGAGGTCATGATCTCATTTCATATGTCACTGCTTAATCTTAGCCAGGATAATTACATACATATGGTTGTCTAAACATGAAGTCAACAGGAAGGTATCCAGCTACATGTGGTACTATAAGTAAATCAGATTTAACTGCAACAGCCAGCAGCAAGAGGATATTAGGCAAGTATTGGATGTTCCCTGAAGAAATTTATATTAAAAAAAAAAGGAAACAAATTCACATTTATTCATTTCCTGTCTCTGTGGGCTGGTACCAATATTGATAAAAATCATGTTAATATCTTACAATGTTCAAGTAATGATCAATACAGAATTTTGAGTTACTTATTTATGTATGTATTTCAAAACACTCCAGAATGAGAAACCATCTGTCCAGAAGAAGGTGTAATGCATTGCCTAAGCCCTCTGCAGTGCTGGGTTGATGAGAGCAGGTCATGGGCAACACACAGACTCTCAGGCATGGAGTGTTTGTTTTACTGGTGAGTTGTCTGGTAAGCATTTAACACTAGGTTAAGGCTCTGAGCAGCTGCTAGTCCCAGCAGCACAGTAAAGCCCTGGAACAGAGGCTGTTTGTAGCACTCGAAGCCAGTACAAAGCATGGCACCAGGGCTTTTGCCTGTTGTTGTGTTGATCCTAACTACTTGTTCTTTTTTCAGAAACCCTCGCCTTCTGGCCATGCTGTTACTACATTTCTGTACGAGTGTGTTACCAGTGCTTCATACCCACTACAGTACAGCTACAGTTCTGTTAGTATTGCTCCTGGGGACTCAGAGGTGCTTGGGAAGCTCATGGTTCACTGTTGCACAATGCTGGCTTTGCAGCATTCAGACAAACCTGTTGGTTTATTCCAAGCTCAGTGGCAGTTTCCTGCACAGCCACAAACGGACACCACAAACTGTCTTCATTTCCCAGCCTTAAAAAAAGAGAATTTGCTCTCTCCCAGTCCCCCTTGTCATGCTTTTAAATCATTTGTGAGCAGGGATTTTTTTTTTTTTTCTTCCCATGTGTTGTAAACTGAACTTGAACTCCAGAGTGGTGTACAAAAATCAGATTTGAACAGACCCCCTAAGAGTCTTACTCAGACATGTTTTTGACTGGGTCACAGGTGGAGACATCTGTGATCAATGTTCAGGAGGTTCTCTGAGCAAGTGCTTTATGGCCTCTAGCTCCTGACCCTCTGGTCCCACACGCTCACATTGGGCCCCTCTGGGCTTTGTGAGACTTTTTGTCCCAGCCAGACTCCAGAGGCTGATTTGCAGGACTAGAGGCAGCACCAGCATGTGCTGTAGGTCAGTGCCCTCCCTCGTCTTCATACATGTACTTGTGAACTGAGATTTCAGACAAGGAGTGAAGACATACTTCAGTTTTATTGTTGTTTAGGCATGGATAGAAACATTAAAACTTTTGCGCTCCCGGTTCTTGAAATGTGCCTATAGTGAACTTGGAGCAGTGAAAATCTCAACTCCTAGGATTGATGATTTAAAGTGCATAGGAGATCTAGCAGAATCCCAAAAGGCGAGGAGTTCTTGTTATTCCTTTTCTGTAGCTGTGGAAGCTGAAGGACTTTTTGTCTTCTCCTCTCACCTGTATTCCCCAGAGAGTGGAATGAAAATTTTCAGCCCTTCCCTATGCTTTCCCTTACGATCTTTGGACGTTTCTTCTCTGTATTTAAGAACTATTTGTAGTGTCATAAACAAAGACCGGTCATGTTTGCAAACCCTTCACAGGACTCTGTTAAAAGTTTTCCTGTTTAGAGTCACACCCAACTGCGTTTTTTTTTTAAAAAAAATGTGTATCGCTTGGCAGTGTTCTTGCACCAAAAGAAAAAGATATATTTGTATATAAAGTAACTTTTTTGTGTGTTCACGTTTTATTTTGGAAAAACAGGTGTTTAAAAATTTTTAGAATTTTTTTAACAAAATTCTAAAAAGAAAAAAATCACAATATTTACAGAGATAACAGAATGGCTTAGCCATGCAAAACAAATGACTTTGGTTTTTCCCCCATTTTACTTTGGTTTAAATATTGACCAAGATTATAATTTTTCTTCTTTTTGCCAAATAAAACAGTAACAAATCAAAGTTTAGAGGCATTATAACAGGATTTCCCTCTAATATTTTATACAGCATAGAGTTTATAGGACATCTTATGTATTTAATCCATGCCAATGCACTACAGGAAGCTTTTATTAAGACATCAGTCACTACTGCCCAGACATTTAACATTTTACAAATTTACAAGTAACAGTGTTTTCTTCCCCCTAAATAATGCAAAAGTGGCAAAATACATTTCCTAACGTCCATCTTTTTCTTTTGTTTATTTATATATGCCTACCAGTCTATAAAAACTTACTTTTTCCCTGGATATTTGTAAATGGAAACCTGATGTTCTGTTTACTCTACCGTTCCTCTCCAGCAAAGCTGCCTGTTACTTCCTTCCAGAAACTAACCTTTCACATAAGATGAAACTTCCCTCCTTTAAGTGTAACTTTCTACTGGGCACTTACCCTAAAATGCTTTCTTAACAGTACCGTTCTAAAAATACCCTCAAGCATAAAACATGTTTATAAAGTTACAAACTTGAATGTAACTAAAGATACATAGACATTTCATTGTTACAATTATATGTACTGTTTGATAAATTAGGTACCAGTTAAAAACACTAAAATTATCTCAAGGTGCATTCAATATCTGTAGCATAGTTAACAAAAACACACAAAAAATATATATATTCTATTCTTGTGGGGAAAAAAAAAATGCAGCTTTGATATGACCACTTTTTAAAAAAAGTTTCCAATTCTGACTGGTATCTTTTTGAAATGAATAAAAGGTACAGTACTTTAAGGCAGCGGATAACATAAAGGAATCAAAATTAAATCTCGAATTCCAGTTCCTTATCCTAATTCTAAGATGAAAGATGACTGATAAAATTTCAGCAAAATGTGTCTTTCTGTAGAAGAAAAGGATTATTAGCCTAGGCTAGGACTTTTGTCATTGTGTTGCTTGCTCAGTACCCACAAGTCTTTGTGGAAACTCTTTATTCCCTTTCTTGCTGATTAGGTTTGCATGTTTTTTTAAATGTTAACTTTTATTAACAATTTCATTTATTCTTGCCATAGCTGTCGCCCTTCCACTTTACTGTGATTTCAAAGAATGAAAACAGCATTCTGACGTTTTCCTTTAAGACAATCTTACTCTCTAGGTACTTGATACAAAGCAGAGGCTTCACCGATAACAATCAGAATTAGACATGTACCTGCTCAAAGGGTGTCATAAAAACAATTGAAATAAAACCATTACACTATACATCAGATTAACGGCAACTCCCAGAACAAAGCCTTACAGTGTATAAAAATAGCTACGTAAAAAATTTACATAAAGGCAAACAAAAAGAAATCTTCAGTGCAGACATTTACAAAAAAATATTTCAAACGGAACACAACATGGTGACCTATTATCATGGCTGTTGCCAAAATTAGTTTGTAGGTTTTTTTTTTCTTTAGCTTGAGATAATTGCGTCTAAAATCCTTTGAAAACTTGGTAGTATGATCTGTTTAATACTTGAACCATGAATAGCTGTCACTTCTTTGTATATGTTTAAATACAATCCACGTTCATGCTTCAATTGGTCTATATGTATTCTCTGAAAATATGAAAGATAAAGCCAGTTAACCATTTTTAAATACATTAACCAACATAACTACTTCAAATAAGCAGCTACAGGAATAGTACTTTCTTCCGCTGCTCAATGCTGAGAACAGTTTCATGATAAGTATAGCTATTGCAATATTATTCCCAGTAAATATGATAAGTCTGTCTGGTAAGTAATGGATTTATGGATAAGCTTTCTTTTATGTACATCTACTGATCTGAAAAACTAAAATAATTTAAAAATTGTGCTGAAGGCACACAATGTTACTTGAAGTCCCAAGTTCAATAAATACCCTCGAATAACTTCAGCTCAAATTAATCACCTCAGTGTTGGAATGTTGCAGAAGGTACCAGGTCCAAAAAAAAAAAAAAAAAAAACACCAAAAACCAAAACCCCCCCCCCCCAAAAAAAAAAAAAAAAAACCACTAAAACTCCCAAACAGGCAATAAGGAAAAGATTACAGAATTTTCCCACAGAACTACAGTAGAAATGCTAAGTTATTTACACTGCAACCTTTTGAAGATCCAAATTTATTTTCCATTTTAAATCATTAATAGGGTATAATTCTAGTATTTCCAATTCACTCCTTGAAACTAGTAAAAAAATGATATTGCTAACAAAGTGGATACAGGGATGCTCCTTCTCTTTATATACTGCATAATCATTCTACCTAGTAAATTCAGAATAGTTAGTGCAAAAAAATAATGCCTTGTACTTTAAAATCTGAGACAATACTAACATATTGAAATTACTAATAAGGAAAGCCATCTTTATTTAAATAAGAAACTTTAAAAATCTAAATATGAAACGGAGTAATTCCATTCACAACGAACTGCTACTGAACACTTACTACTCTAATTTTTAAGAACAGTTCATGATTAACTCAAGAAAACTTAATATTGTTAGCTGGGTTCCAGACTGTTGTGGTACCACAGTGTTAATTTGAAATGGGCTCAGCTGGTCAGAAAAATGGTCTCAACCTCTGCCTCGGGTAGGAAGGGAGAGAAGACGCAGCGGTGGTGTATGTATAAGTGAACAGAGGGTGGTGCTGTTGGTGCTCTGTAGTGCTCCTGCAATGCCTGCACCCACTGTATGGAGTTCAATTTATATAGATCCTGCTTGGGGAAACTTTCATACTTGTTGCATTATTACTAACTTAATCTACAGTGTCTCTTTCCAGGATAAAATCGATAAAAGTATGAGCATGTGAAATCTTGAGTAAAAGAATGATTTTATTCTAGGGAAAGTTTCATACCTCTTGCAGTGATGATAAATAAAGCTGACCAGAGACTTAGAAACCATTGCTTTTGGTAACGGAAGAAGGTTCCTGTGAACATCTGAAGTCATAACTCAAAACCTTCTAAACTATACCTAAATGTAGTTTTCAGACACAAACATACACCTATGTACCACAGTGATGTATTACAGATTTTTTTTTATTTTCATTTCCCCAAGCATATGGATTAAAATAAAGCAAAGTTCTAGGTTATGTCAAAATGTCAGACTCCTTTAATGTGTGAATATGCAGGCATGAATTCTTGAATTCTGGCCAGAGGTGGAGTCCATCTGTCCTGACAGTACATCACTCAAAATCACCCTGCTGCCTAAACACTGAAAGGTGAGCAACAGGCTCTGGGCTACCACTGTGACTGCTAGACACAGACTGCTACGGAGAAATGCTGACCAAAGAGATGTTTGATGCTGCAGTATGGAATGCTTACCTGGAATGACGACTGACATGTTTTGTCTCTTAAGTTTCAGATTTATGATTGTTTTCTTCTAATTTTTTGTTTTCTTCTATATTTCCAAGATCTTTGTCTACGTGTTTTGACGCTGTCCTATAACAAAAGAATAAGGTCACTTTTGCATGCCTACAGCATTTTGTTCCATTCTCACATTAACGACACTGTCTCCTCCCCTCTCAGTGAAACAGAAAATTCTCAAAGTTCTGTTCTGAGCAGAGCAATAGGCTTGCATATGTCTGTAAAAAGGCCAATAGCACCTGTTCCCCCACTGGTGTTCATACCACAGGAAGCAGTGCAGTACAGCTGTGTGTGTTTTATTTCCTTTTTGAGGAATTCAGAATTATTCTGAGCTAGCAGATATTTAGTGAGGTTAAACTGTTTGTGCAGATCCATGTTTCTTAACAAATTGTGTAGCTTGTTTCAATAAACAAGAGTTTGCTTTAAAGTGTATGAAAACATTACAAGTGTGGCTAAGACATCTTGATCAACACAACGTTTTGTTTTGTACTTGTAGCAATTCACTTTCAGACCCTGTGCCAAACAAGCTCTTTAAATGTGAAGAAATTGATGAAAATTGTGGCAACACTGAAAAAAATCCACTCTGGCTTCTATATCTGTGCTGGCTATAAGACTGACAAGATTTAAGTAAAAAGATTGTGTAAACATTTGAGGGGGGGAAAAGAAAAAAGGTATGCCTCATTTAAAATAGCAGGTCTTCCTTAATGCAAGTAGAGGAGATGAATTAATGAGTTAAGTGCTTAGTTTAGCTTAGCACAATAAAACCACTAAGCCATTCATTTAATATGTGAGAAGCCTCACTGTCTGCCAAGGTGAAAGATTCCTGCAGTGCTGTGATAACATTTTGAAGGCCACAATTTTTAAAATGTAAATGGGCAAATGTGTTTGAGTGGGACAAAGTAAATCCCTTGTGTCAAAGCAGATTATTGTATACGCATTTTCTCTACGGATAATTTGTCTCCCCTACAGAAAAGTAACATCTGTTGTGACAGATTCATGCATATGCTCACCCTTGCTTCAGGGTAAAGACCCATAGTGACACTGACTTGCAAAATACAATGAAGACACAGGTTAGCAAGATAGTGTGACATGTCACGCTGACACCATGCAGGCATGTACCTCCCCAAACCGCTGATCTGAGTTTTTGCTAGTGGAGTGTTTCTGTGCATATCCTCCATCTGAGCAAAGGCCGCTAGCAGTGGCCAAGTGCTACGTGTGCCCTGCAGGTGGACGTAGCCTTGAACGGCACTGCTAAGAGAGTACAGTTCAGTCCTTGTCTCAGAAAAGCTTCTGATGGGGTGCAAATGCACCTCACCCTCAACACCTCAGGGACTGCTGCTGGAATGCTGCTCTCGGGGCTGGGGAGCAGCGTTTGAGGTGGAGTGCCAGGGGAGCATGGAATTCTGGGCCCCAAATCAGACTACACTGAATGGGACCATTCTAAATTTTCGTGTTTGTTTTGCAGTAGGTTATTTACTGAGTGGCTATAAATTTTATTGCTTCAAAGCTGCGTTTACCTGTTGTTATTGGTTTTAGAGTGCCTCTGTTATATTTGTGTGGCTGACAGGAAGGTGTCTGTGCTGAAAACCCACTTACGGAAAAGATGTGAACGCTTGCTTATGGCAGGAAAATTTAATTTTTAAAATGCTGAGATTGTATCACAAAGAAACTTGTTCTACCATGGTAAATTTCTATTGTGCAATAACTTTCTACTTCTGGTATTCAAAACCTGAAACACGTGATGTGCATAGAGGGAATACATGTGAGATGTAATGAAGAAGAAAATTCAGTGCTTTGGTAGAGATTGACCTTCAGTGATCTTAATAAAGGAGAAACAACCTCCCAAACAAATAAGTCCCTTACAAATTAAAAAAACCCTTTCTTTTTATTTTTTAAATTACAAAAATGTTTGGTTTAGGTAGAGCACAGCATCTGGCTTGTCATGTGGCTAATGAGTCTTTTTCCATAAATAAGTCTTACAAAATTGGAGAAAGCAGGGAACAAGA